TATCCCCATAGTCTCATTGTTTAGTGGGCCCGGCACTGTCAATATTAAGCCTGGCTAATGTGATCTAGAGGCAGCTGGAGCAGCCCCGATTATTACCATGACACAGCCAACAGAGGGGTGTAATATCATTAAAAATAAATCAGGTGGTTTGGAGATTTGCTGTAGCAGGGGGGACTTTGAATGACATTAGGTGGGAGAACTGCCATAATTTCATTAGTCAGTTGGGGCACCTCCGAGGATCTGTTGAAACATTTCCTTTAAGTTAGAGTAATTGGATTTGCTTTCACAACACTGCACACAAAATGAAAGAAAGGTAAAATGATGATGGTAATTTTTCCAATTAAGTGTCTAATAATTGTGAAAATTAATTTCAGACATGTTAAGAACTATGCAGACACCTGGATATCATAATAGGATAATATTTCAATTTCCTAATTACGGAATATATTGTAGGTCATCTATTTGAAAGCAGATAGGATATTCCTGTTGTTATTATTAGCCTCTTGTGCTGGATTATTGTTGCAAATGAAGAGGAAAACGTGAGGCACTGCTAATCCTCTTAAACTGCTTGACACTGAGCTGTCTGCTCGGCAGACTCATCAGCAATCAGCTGGCAAATGAATAGGCTGCCGGCTCACAGAATTTAACATTTCAAAATCAAAATAATAAAAGGCTATTCTGTATTGTACCTTTATTTTATTCTATTTAATGATATTTTGATTATAGGTTTTGTCTGGATGACTTTGTTGAGACCCCCCTCATTTTGCATGTTCGATTCGCTATTAAATCGCTAGAAGTGCCGTTGGTCTCCCAGCAAGGGTCTTATGTTGCTATTGTTTTGACGCTGGAGCCACATAAACGGTGATTTCAAGGCCCATTGAGCGCGCGATGGATTGTGCCCAAAATCCTCTGACGAGTGGAGAGCATTGATTATTGGAGGGGCGGCTAGAGTGACGCTAGAAGTTGTAAATCTGTTATCCGATCTGCACAGTGACGTTAAATTCAAACAGGATCATTAATGCTTCTTTTACGCTGTCCAACACTTTCAGATGTTAGATAGACAGATAGATAGCCTACATGGATAGATAATGCATCACTTGATATTGTTATTACTGTCATTGTTATTAGTAGTAATAAAAAAAAAATTGTCTGTTCTTTTTTAGTCAGTCTGTGTGTTGTTTTCTAGTTAAAGCACGTTGACAAAAGACTTTATGTAGTGGTGTCTTCCTGTTGTGTGATAGTGACATCTAGTGGCACTGTTTTGAACTACTGTCTCCCTTTAAGACATGTTGATAATGGATCATGTTTAATAAGAGGAGAAATCTTACATGATCTAATATACAAAATAACTATAGCTGACAACTATTATGTAGAAGATCAGAAAGTATAGGCTAATTTACCTTTGAAAAGAGTGAAGTATAAGATATATATTTACTTAAGACAGCTGAATAAATGTTCTTAATTTAATTTGTGCTAATAAACCACATATATTTTAAAATGAATATGTGTATTGTTGATTTGATTCTGTCATAACCTCATGCACAAAACACGGGAACAAAGGGGGAAAAAAAGGAACTGATGCATTCTCACAAGCCAAATGGCAACCGTTGCTGAATTTTGGTCAAAACAAATAATGGTAATCAATGTAATGTGGTAGTATGACAGGTCACTTGGAGCTCTTTGTGCAATGCTATGGCAATATATTCTGTATGAATCACTGGCATTCAGCCTTTACAGAAGGAAACATATTGTAGAGACGTTTCACACCTAGTGTCCTATTCCTCTGTTTCTGAGCATGCAGCATTAATGTCAGCAACTCTGCAGGAGGAAAAGAGTATCGGGGAAGCAGAGACAAAGAGAACATTTATTCTATTACAACCTATTATTAGCTGCATAATCGGTTATTAATGAGACACAGTATTTCCCCCTCTAACACCTCTTCACAAACATGAGAGTCTAATGTTAGTTAGGCTAAAATCAGTGTATTGAGCTTGACACAGAAACCCTTCACGTTGCTGCTTCACTCCCCCACACACACATCTCTGACCCAAATAAAAGCATGTGCTTGGAGTCATACAGCAGAGCTTGGTTCTTTCTTTATCTATTCCCCTCTTTATTCTACACTTGAGCTTTCATCTCTCCTCCACCTACGCTTTGCTACACAATTTCGCTCACATGCTATTCCATATATCCACCTCTGCCTCATTCACCTGCCAGTCCCTGAGCATCATCAGCACCCCTCCACCGGATACGCACAACTGACACACTTGACTTCATAGCTTGATTTCTCTACTCAGCAGTCATAGCGGCAGCTGGTGCACGGATTTTACACAAGTTTTGGTTGTCCAGGATTTGGAATGGCTCCTAAAAGAGAACCCTCCATTAAGAAGTCCCCTTCACCGGTTACCCAACCCAGACTGGGTCCTCCGTACCCCTGCATCCCTGCAGCTCCTGCAGCTCCAAAACTGTCTCAAGAGCAGAAACCTAGGATGTTACGTCCCTCGGATTTACCATTTGACCCCAGTACTTTGGAGGTGAGTAGAGTAGCTGTGTTACACTCTTTATGACAAAGCTAATGTGGGGCATTCATAATTATATTTAGAAATATTGTGTCCTATAAATTCTCTTATTTTCTTTGTTGCCAGATGTCAATTAGTTCTGTAAAAAACATCACATGCTGAGTATTTGCAAAGTAGCTCTCTATGATTCTGATGCTAATAAATTGTCAGCGTAAATCTGGAATCTAAGCTAAGCAAAGAAATGGGGCACTGAAAATAAGGCTGTCACCATCAGTGGCCTCCTTAGGGAGAAAGGAGCTCTCTCTTGCCACAGTGTGTGCTATTTATTTCACTGGGAAGGTCCAAAATGTTAACAGCCTGCTCCTTGTGATTCTTACACCTATGATTATTATGAGAAGCAAAATAACAAAACTAAAACTGTAATTCAAAACTGAAATTGAGGACATCATCATTTTTCACTAGATTAAAAATTTAGAGAGTTTGCACTTGCCCTATTTTTCAAAACTGCAAGCTGGCTGCAGAGAGCATAGACCTCCCCATAATTCTGCACTGTGACTTGGATAGAAGCTTGTGGGTTAAGTCACAGATAGAACCTGACAAACTAGAGATTTTTGGTTCACATGTAAAGCAATATGACACTAAGTAAAGAACATGATGTTATTAAGAAACTGTGTAATTATTTCACAGTTTGTCCAGCAGCAAACTCTGTACTCTATTATTAACAATAACTATTTTTGGAGAGGAGCATATCACAGCTGGATGGTGGTGCAGAGTTAGCTCAGAATGATGCTTTCAACTGTGAAATACCCTGCCTCCAATGCATGTCTTTGTCACAGCTCTTATAATATTAATCCTTTCTTGAAATGCATATGTTAAAAAGAACCAATAATGCTAAATGGAAGAATGAATGAATGGATTTTTGTAGTAAAGTATGGTCATCTAAATATTGAGTCCCATTTCTTCAAACCTCTCAATGACTGGAAATATAAATTAGCTAATAACCTTGCCTAACCTTTGTAATTAGTAAATATAAAATATCAGTGAATATAGGAATTTAGTAAACTATATGTCCATTGCCCAGTGAAAGCATGTTAAGTCCAAACTATTACAATGTTCTGAGGTCAAATCAGGCATATATAGGTCAATCAGACAAAACATTAAAGTAAAAATGTGTTAAAGAAATCAAGCTAAATGTCTCTAACATGTAGCCTACATATATATACTGATGCCCACATTAGACTTTGTACTAATGTGCTTTAACCTTGCTGCCATCCTCATGTGCTTTAAGTGTTACACTGTGTGTACTGCATGATTTAATGACGTGAGACAGTCCCATTTAGACTTTGAGGATATGTGGGTCATGTTAAGACACCCACTCCTGCTCACAGTTGGACCACAGACATAACAGCAACTCATAACTCCATAACCCACTGGTGGGTTTGAAATGCATGTTTTCTTTTTTTTTAAAACGTATTTTGGACTTAAACTTAGAATAGTGATCTTTCACCAAAATTACTTCATTCTACATGTCTCATTCAAAGATTTGTCAGCAATAAACTGTTTGCACTAACCAGGTACTGTAAAAAAAAAAAAAAAAAAAAACTCTGAGCTCCTCAGCACAACACTAGGAAGCTTTGAATGACTAGGCTGACACCATCAGTCACGTAACAGCAATTCAGCCAGTAAGTCTGAAAAGCTGGCTGTGTTTACACCTTTTAATATACACTCTATGGTTTACACTGTGGTAGAGTGGACATGGAAGGCAAGGATTCATGCTGGAGATACAAAACGTGGCATCAGTCCATGATCTCAGGCCATGATCATTCCTGCTCAGCCAGACGCTCACATCCTTAATGCAAACCCTAGCAAAGAACTTAGACTGTCCTTAGAATAAGCATTTGTGTTTGATATGTTTTTCTTAACAAAGAAATCACATTGTTAGATTACAAATTATCTTAATCCAGAAACCATGAATATGCAAATATTTTACTTATACACTTTATTCAAAAGTGTAACTACTTGACCCACTAAGCCTCCTACTATACCGAGCCCCTTCCCTTGTCCATCCTGTTTTTGCACTGAAGGTTTGAAGGCTTGAGGTATCACAAAACGGGGCTAGTATATACATGCCTTAAACTCAGATTTAATGTGAGCACAAGAGGTAAAAGACATTTTGAGTGGAGGTGAACCTTAAGTATTTAAATCACTTAATCATTAATGTAAGGGCAGACTCAAAATAAGTGACCTTTTGGCCTTCTTACCTTTGGTCTGTTAATGATTAAATCCAGCTCTAAAATTCAGCTTTTACCCTAAAGTTACTTATTTTATGTAGCCTACCTGTCACCCCAATCATAAAATTAATAGTTTAAGGACTTTTAAAGCAAATAATTCGTGTATTGTAAACCTCAAACCATACCTAGCTCTATATTCCTATATATGGAGTGTGTGGGTGTTCGGCCTACCTTGGTGTAAGGACGGCGTGCGTGCTCTACGTCATGACGCACAGCTGCTAGGGTTTTCTCACCCTGCCCTTCTCTGTGAGCCGTCACACATTCTTTAGTTTGCCGACGCCGCGGACACACCTCAGCCAACAAAACCATGGTGGGTTTTTTCTTCCACTCTGCTTAACTAGCATTACAATCGTTCTTGTGTAATCAACTATGTTCTTGTTTCAAGAAAGTAATTTCGTTGAGGCGAGGGTGTTAAGTTGGGTTTGAATATCTGAATTGCCTCGTTGGTCGCTAGCGGAAGTGCAACTTCTGAGAAGCTAACGTTAGCTTGCACGGTAGATAAAGTTAACAATCACACGATAGACTAATTAATGTCACCGAAGTACTGCGAGTACATCAATCGTTGCTAAATGTGCTGTAGTTAGGGAATAACTGGTTTGAGTAAATCTAACTAACTTAACTGTAAAACGCCTTTGAAGTTAACCCAAGCTAGCTAGCTTTGCATTGCGTTGCAGAAGGAACCATTTTCATGTTAGCCTAATTTCTCTTTGGACAGTCTGACTTCTCGGAAGATCAAATCGGTGGTGAGTTTTGATTTTGCCATTTTCCAGACCCCGCTTGTTTTGCATGCTTTCATTCTTGCTTGGTTCAGATGACACTTTGCCCTGTATCTCCACTATCACCCTGCTCTATGCCGTCTGTCATAGTAGTCTTGGTTTTAGGCTAGTTTTCCTTCTCTATTTCCGTACTGTTTCACCACTTTCCACTTGCAACTGCTTGTCCTTTCCAGATTGAATTTAACCTGGATCAGATTCATGGTAAGTCAGTGAAAGGGGACCGCCTTAGCCCAGAAACTGATGGCTATCTTAGTGTTCAGGGTGTGATCTGCATGTTGGTTTTGGATAAACCAAATCTGTTTTAAATGTGAATGAGAGTCGCTTTGCACTGTTGTTTGGTACGTCAAAATCAGTCATACTTTGCATATAACGTTATAATACTTACAAGCTTTGACAGTGTGTTGCAGTGTTTTTTGTATGTGGTCAGTCATGCATTAGCAGCACTTAAAAATCCAAACATAGCCAAAAGTGCATATCCGTTCTCATAAGTCTTGTTCTGTTAGACTGTAGTCATTCCTGGTTGTCAGTTTGCCATAAACTTTGCCTGTTATCTTCCAGCGGCTCATCTCCACAAGTGTGTGTGCCCTTTTTTGGTGCTGGAAACAGTGGTGGTTGGTTTTTGTCCTAGGGCTGGTTTGTTTAATCACCGTTTACTTAATAGGCTATAGCTACTCTCACTCTCCTCCTACTTTCCTCCACTCTTCTAATACCAAATATGGTGTTGGGAAGAGTTGCTCACAAGCCAGAAGGGAAGAGGCACATTCCTCAGAACAGGAAAAACTCCACAACAGTACTTGAGCTTTTTTGGGGAATAGCTTGTCCCCACAACAGACTGCTGCCCGGATATTGTGCAATCTATGTCTCCCTGATGGCTAGATCTTAGATAAGCTTTTTGTTTGGCTATTGAGCCCAACTAGAATGCCTAATGTTACACCAAAGCTACATTAATCAGCCTTGGGATCAATTACAAGATTGCATCATTGCTGACTGTTGATAACGCCCAGGAAATTCTGCTTAAACAACAACAAAAACACTCAATACGTTGTTATGTAAAGGCTGAGGTAGCTCACAGCCTTATTGACTTTTCAACAGCACAGTAAAATACTGACGGCAAAGTGGAGTGAATGCTGCGAGCCACCTGCAAGACCAATCTGCCAGATAGACTCCTACTTAATCTGGTAGTAAAACAGTGTGAATTACTGACACATTAATCTTGTTTGCTGCCATAAAATGAGATGTTATTAAAGATGACACTGGATTGACATGAACCCTAAGTGAACAAATAAGCTGTCTTTTCTACATTTTATACAAACCTACCTTTTTGACCATTGGGCACACAAAAGAAACATTTAAAGTTCAAAGGCAACTTGAGTGTCAAATACAAGTAATAAATGTACCATGTCCAATATTAGGTGACTTTAGTGAAGTACTCTATATTTTTGCAGCTTTTATCTGATGTTTTGTAGGAAGTGAATTTCCTTCTGTTTAGACGCACAGTATTTAGGATGTTCTTTGCCATGGCTTATTTTCTTCAAGATAGTAAATCTCTAAGCATTTGAGCCCTAGCAAAGAGTTTCCTTACTTTTACACTTCTCTTTTCATGAGAAATTTCTTTCATGCTATATTTATATCTGTTTGTTCTGGTGCTTTATTTGAGCTTTGACATGTGTCATTTACCACTACCTTTTAACACATTTCCCTGTAATTCAGACACATTTGATATCTTTGAAAATTTATTCCGCAAGTGTTGTATGTTGTGACTCCTACAAAGATGACAGAGTATGTAGTGTTGCATTGGTGGAGTTGTTTCACCTTGTTTCATCTTTTATTGATGCGTACTGAAAAAGTCAGACCAGATGAGTAACACCTATATACATAATTTGGTGAATTGAGGAAGTTAAGAGGTTTTTCAATGTCAACCAGCAAAGTGCAGAGAGCAAGTTGTTTCTTAGTGTTTGGACCATACTCTTATCATGTGAGTGGAAATAGTAATTTTGTCAAAAGAATTTCAGCTTTAAAAACTAAGTTCAGAATGTCTGAACAAAGCTTGTCTGTGCAGAGTCTGGCCAGTAAAGGTGTACAGTTTATCAATATATCTGTTTCTCTGAAAAGACTGGATAGTTATCTGGCATTTCAAACTTACACAGGTTCCTGCAGTGTGGTGCTGTTTGTGCTTTCTGCTCAACTTAAATTTAGGCCTACCAGCAGTAAACCAGATCATAAATTTCATCACTTCTCATTATCTGTGCTTAGTCTAGTCTATTTTTCTTTCTACTTTTCTTCTGTCTGGCTTTTCTGTTTTTCATCTATTTCCAGTTAACTTCCAATCTTCATATTATTCATCCATACATTTCTGCTTGTCTTTTCATTTCAACAATAATTTCTATCCTTATTCTAATTCGTTTTGTCTCTCTATATCCTGCAGACTTTAAGGATGCATTCCTGCTGTTCGACAGGACAGGAGATGGGAAGATCAGCTTCAGTCAGTGTGGGGACGTCATGCGGGCCCTGGGACAGAACCCTGTCAACGCTGAGGTGCTCAAGGTCCTGGGCAATCCCACGGCTGAGGGTGAGTGGAGAAAATTAAATTTACTGGGATTTCTAGCTGTGTAGCTATGTGTAGAACTCATTAGATTGTCGCTATGCTGGAAAACACACACAAAAAATCTCTCATAATTCAACTCTTGTAGTTGCAATGTTCTTTGTGTTGTAGCTGCCGCTGGAGACTTGCATCATTTATTCTGTTTTTCTTTTGCAGAGATGAACACCAAGATGCTAGACTTTGAGCAGTTCCTGCCCATGTTCCAGGCCATCGCCAAGAATAAAGATCAGGGCTCCATGGAGGATTTTGTGGAGGGACTGCGTGTCTTTGACAAGGAGGGCAATGGCACAGTAATGGGAGCAGAGCTTCGTCACGTCCTCACTACGTTAGGCAAGTTACATTTTTATCCCCCTTGAATAGATATCTGGAGACAAAGACTATTTTGGGTGGATTTCTTTTATACATGCTAGTTTTTTGTTGTTTGTTTTTGTTTTAGTTTTTTTGCTAAATTCTACAATAACCACAATGGATAGTATCAGTGCAAAATTTACTAGAAAAATGTATTTACTGAAAAATGAATGTACATGGCATCATGTAAGTATGTTATTGTTTGTAAATTAATTTGGCATCACGGGTATGCAAATGTCTTTTTGGTGTTATCGTTGTTTTTACTTAACTTCTATTTCCTGTGTTCATTTTTCTTGAAGTATGAAATCCTTTGTCATCACATTTTTAAAGAAGAAAGAAAAGCATGGTAATGTGATTTAACATTTTTTATGTTCTGTTTTCAGGTGAGAAAATGTCAGAGGAGGAAGTGGAGACGCTCTTGGCGGGACACGAAGATGCGAATGGCTGCATCAATTATGAAGGTGAGAGTGAAAGAAATAAACAAGCACGAAATAAGATGCTTGCTATAATTAGGCTGTGGCAATAAGCCTGCCAATTTTGGCAATGTGATAATGAAACCTCTGTCATGAAGTACGCTTATGTGTGCTGTGATATGTGAAATATCGGGTAATTGCCAAGATAAGTCCTTTGGGGGGGGGGGGAGAGGTAATTTTGACTGACACTCACTACAGTATTGCTTGATTATGTCTTATGATTAGTTGGGAGTCTTTTCATGTTACTTTCTACTGTCTCTTATGTGTTCTTTACACTAAGAGGCCATGTATAAATGTCAACATCTGACAGAGTGTTAACTGTTCTTCCTCCACAGCATTTGTCCGCCACATCATGTCAGGCTGAGGGCCGGTACGGGCATTTGGTATGCCATGAGATGGCACTTCCAGGCTTTCTTGCATTCTAGTCGTTAATAATCCACTCCCATTAGGCCAACCTAACACTAATTGGCTTTAGTTGTGCGCCTCACTTTGACCAGAACAGGAACAATGTGCTGTTGAATTGTAGATTTGACCTGTAGGCGCCCTGAGGGAAAGCCTGGTGGTCCCTCTCATCTTTAGTCCTGAGGCTTTGACCCACGTGTAGCCTCCTGCTGTTCTGTCTCTCTATCCTGCAGCCCTCTGTCTTGGCCCCTGGCTGCAGCATGCCCTTCTGCTTGTGTCTGGGACTCCCGTCAGTTTATACGGGAATATGGTGGACACACAGGGAAGTGACTGGTCTCATTCAAGGAAAGGCTGGTGAACTGATGGATGCAGAGATCACAAGGCAGCTCCTCTAATATAATTTGCATGTCATTGGTGCTATTAAAGAAGGCTTTCCCCTGTGTTGATGTTAGGGGTGCTGCTCTTTTCACAGACAGATTAAATAGACGGTCAATTTATTACTTTGAAGACATGTTTAATATTCAAGTATAACCGCCAGCTTAGGGAGAGTGGACCAGTCCCTTTTCCCCACTAACCAGATAATCGCAATGAGTTGCTCTTGTGCTGATTGTTTTCTCCTCTGTACTGATGGAAGCTGAATATGTAGCTGGCCGCTCTGACTGGACTGTAGCTCCCTTGATCTTCTCCCCTTTTCTCTGCTGCTCAACTAGAGGAAAGCAAACAGCGAGGATGGCTTCTCTAACCAGCTCTTCTTGGATCATAGACAATGCCAAATGCTTTGGCTGTTTATGAGATAGAGACGATTACCTTACTTCTTTCTCTTAATACCCTGTTCAACCCTTCTTTCCTCTGGGACAGCAGAATATAGGGGGATCTGCCTCCAAATGCAGCATCTCCCATCCAGGCTCACCAAAGCTGGATGGGGAGGGAGCTTATGTGCCACATGCTGTAGTTGGAGTGGGTCTCTGTCAAGATCTAGACCATGAGTCTCACATTTGCCTCTTTCTCATCTCTCTTTTACAGAACTGGTCAGGATGGTCATGAACGGGTGAAGACAAAGAGCATCCCACTTTTTTACCTTGTCACATCTACCTACCTTTTTGCAGTTAGCTTCTCCAGCCCCGCCCACTCCACCCTGTGCCCTTTCCATGGATTAGTTTTCCACATTTAATTTAAGAAGTGCCTTTACATTCCCTACAAAAGACCACAAATGGCTATTCCTGCCAGGTCCATTCACATACATAACTACTTGTATACCATTCAGGAGTCTTTGTGCTTGCATTGTTTGCAATAACATTCCAAGGACGCAGCACTGAAGATGACATAAATTGATAATGAAATACTGTAACTATTAAAAGTAGTGTGTCAGTGTTGGATGGGACATTAATATATATGTACGTAATAACTGTCAGAGACCTTCTGTATCATTGGCTAAGACTTGCTTTGGCTGAGGAACATGTTCTTCCCATTCTCCAAGTAAACCGACCATACTATCATGAGGTAGAAAGAAACATTTCGAATGGGTTCCCATGTTTTAAATTCACCCCAATTTTGTTGCTGCATTTAAATAAATGTGTTTCCTGAAAACATATCTTGGTGGTTTTTAGCAGGTTTGTTAGATTCAATAGAATGAGGTCCAAGACTCTTTACTGCCTTGTCTTACAACGTTCTGCACAATGCAATGATGTTGTTCCATTGACACAAGAGGGCAGTGTTGCTTCTGGAATCTGTAATGTTAAAAGGGCTGCTTCACTGTCAGACCACAGTGTATAATAGAGGAATATCTTGATCTGTTAAGCTTTTTTGAGCCAAATTAAGAGTTAATCAGGTGTGCAGGCTTTATTGCTCAAGTCAATATAAACTATTATTGCCTGTCTGAGACCATTTTAAGCTTTCACCTGTTGGTTGTTTAGGGACTTTGCATTTAAGCCAGGGGAAAAACTGATATGTATTTTGTCATGCTTTACATTTTCAGAGAAATCATTTGGTGACAAAGCACTATGATATGAGCTGTAGAAGGCTGTTTGGTGGCTTCCTGACCTTTTTTCTTCATTTTCTTCACATGCAACCACAACTGTTTCCCCTCATTAGGCACCACAGCTAGTGGACTGTGGAGCTTATGTGTGTGGGGTAAGGTTCAGGAGGGTGTCATAGTCCACTGCTGAATAGGTTGCCCACTAATTACTCGGGGTGTGTGTGTGTGTGTGTGGTCGATGGAAGTCAAGGCTATTGATTATTTTAATCCTCCTATTTGTGAGTCTGTGATCCTCGTGGCTCTGCATTCGACAGGGGAATCACTAATGGGCCTCAGCGCAGCCTGTCTCAGACCTCTCCCCGTCCAATTAACTTTCAACTGGAATCTGCCAGGAGAGAGAGCCGGGGGCTGGGCCCAGGCATGGCTCGGCTACATCCCTCATTCTCTGCTCAGGAGCCACAGATTCAACAAATCCTTTAAGTCTAGAATGCCATCAGCTCTACTCTAATTAGACACTTTCCCTTTTGCCAATAATCTAAGATTCACTTTCTTTAACATGGAGAGGACTCTCCCTCTGTCTGCTTTAGGAACTGTTAAAGTGGCTATATTTAAAATTATGGTCTCTTGAATAAACTGGTGATTTTAACTAGAAAATAGCAAAGTGTGGAAATATTCATCAAGTAATTCTAGGTGTATATATTAGATTTGTGAACATAGTTTATGTAGTGTATATGAAATGATACCCATAGTTTCAATATATGTTGCTGTCATTCATAAAATTAAAGACTAAAGGAAAATATTTCTGAGATACATTTTTAAACAAGGCACAATCTATTCAAGGTAATGGTGAGCAAAAACAATCTTGAATTTCAGATACCTTTCTTTAATTAGATTTTAGATCTCTATGGATAATAAGCAGGTAGAGAAAGAAAAATAGTTTGGCAGCTATTTTAATAATTGATCAATCACTTATCAAAATATTTCACAGGTCCCAGCTTTTCAAATGTGGGCATTTGCTTTTCTTTGTCTTATATGGCATTAAACTGAATTTCTTTGGGTTTTGGACTGTTAATTGACAAAACAAGACAATTGAAGAAATCACCTTGCTCTCTGGGAAATTGTAATGGACATGTTTAACTTTTTTCTCACATTTTATAGACCAACCAGTTGATTGATTGAGAAAAGAATCATTAGATGGATCAATAATGAAAATAATCATTAGTGGCCCTAGATTAAGATGGCTATGTTGGTCTGTTTCCCATAGCACTGTAAATATACTGTATGTATTCAGAAATATATATTCACTCAAAGAGAGCCCAACAAGATGTCCATAAAATCACTGTAGGATTATCAATGCATTCATAGAAATGTACCAATATTATTTATGGAAGATTTCAGCAATTCTCTGAATGTTTTCTTTTTATTGGTGGGCTTTCCAACACATCTTACTTCAAAACCCTGATAAGCCTCATCGAACACTGAACCCGTTTGGTTGTTTGTACAATTGATCACTATATTGTTACATTTAAAATGTATACATTCAATGGATTTTGTAGATCCTGGGTGTATTGTAAGCTGAGATCAATATAGCAGTATTAATGTTTGAGTCTTAGTGTCTTAAGACATATTGGAAATCCATGCTGTAGCAGGCAGTGGCCGTGGTCAGCCACTGTTCGATCTCTGCTGCAAGTCCACGCAGCCATGTCATGCATCCAATTCTCCCCAGTCGGTCCAAGTGGTCACTCCAAATTAAAACTGAACAAGGGTCTGCGTGTCTTATGACTGTTGAACGTACGTGCCTTTATTCAGCCCTGACTTTCAACACGCCAAAACAACATGCAAGAACACAGACATGGTAGGTATAGATATTTTAATAACAATTGTCTACTCAATCTATTCAACATACCAGATAGCCCATCCCATGATTACTGTTTATACTGTACATATGGTATGACTTTGACAGGGTCTCTCAAAAATAAAGTACTAAGTAGGTATGGCAGTGTAATTACAGTAATGTGTCTGTAATGTATTTTACAATAATAAATGTGAAGTAAAACACCGCAGCTGTTGCTTTTCACTGCCTTACAGTATCTGTATATCCACTCGTACATACTGACATACCCCCACACACACAATATTTTCAATAATGCACTCGGCAATTAAAACATCACCACACGAGTGCCATTCATAAAATGCGTTGCCTTGTTATGTTAATGTTTAGTTTTATCTTGCTGTGTGAGATCCTGTGTCATGATGGTAACAGGAATGAAAAGGTCACACATCTGTGTTTATTCAGATGGCCTTATTTTCATCAGTACTGCCCCGATGCAGGGTGAATCACAACAGGCATTTAATTAATTTCATGTGGCGTAATTCACTTTAGGGAAGAAAAATGTTTACAGTGATGAAAATATACTCAGGCCAATCGATCAAAGGTCACTGGAATGGAGAGCAGAAATGTGTAAGGTAAATATTGTAGAGGTAAAGACTGGAATACAGTAGGTGTGCATTTGCCTCAGTTTAGTAATCTTGATTAATGGCACCCTCAACACCATTGTTGCATTAAAAAAACAATTAGACTGATGGTGTTTGTTATATTGCAGTTCTCACAATGTCACTTAATACGAAACACATTATTATTAGTAATTTATAATTAGTATTTTTGATATTTCAGAGCCACGACGTGCAATTATTATGCGCACCTATATTTTACATATTCTGAAATTTGCACACAATGGGCACCAGAAAATTCAGCTGATCATAATGATTGGCTCAAAATCATACAACTTAATTCCAATTATCTCTTATTTCCACTCTATCCAGACTTCTGCAGTCTCTTGTGATCTCAGCGTGTGTGTGTGTGTGTGTGCGTGTGTCTGTTGCATATATGTGTGTATGTATTTGTGTGCACATGCATTCATTGTGCATGTACACGTCTGTTTATGTGCATTAATCTGCGTTCGTACATGCCTGTATAAGTGTGAACATGTCTATGTGTACAGTATGAGAGTGTCCTTTCTCCATGAGCCAGGATTCAATTCAGTCTGGGTAGATAAGGAAGCCGGAGAAGGTGCTGTACTTGTTTGTGTTCCCTCCATGGACCTTCCCTCCATCCAGCTGCACACACACCTCATCGCCCACGTCCAAATGCAGGATCACACTGTTGGAGGCATAGTCGTAATTCTGATCAGCGTCCTGAGCGATGGCGCTGGCTCTTACCTGTCACCCACAGACGACATATGCATTGACAATTAGAACATGGACAAAACTGAATAAACACTTGCAAATGTCACCGCCACTTACTAAACAGCTCCAGGAACTCTACAGCTCTTTAAAACTAAATCTACCAAATCTTGTTCTATTCCTTTATCACATTTTCCCCCCAAGTTGGGTATGATCAGTTATTAACATTCTTCAAATGAGACACTCATGAGTATGACATCACCCCCACCCTCATGCTGGATGAACAGATGGATGGAACTGTGACCTGTGACCCCAGAGGTGGACTGAGAACACAGCCACTCTGCCTCTTATTGATCAGCTGTGGCTGGGGCTCGGGGAGCGAGGGTGGAGATTTGATTGGATTGTGGAGATAAGCGGACTCACTGGGGACAACAGGTTGTCTATGGGGGAACTAGCTCAGCAGAGAAAGAGCATCACACCAGCTATTGACCTGTTGCTTATGATCCTGGGCCAGCTCAATATGCATGATATTGAGTGGATATGCCGGAGCCAGACAGTTTCACATTTGCATGCTTTGTGTGAGTTCGGTGTTATTGACCAAGCAGCAGTGGATCTTTACTTGTTTGTTAACATTTAATTGGGTTTACTCACTGTAGACATTTAAATACACATGCCTAGATTGAGTTACAGTTGTGCAGGAAACGGGCCTTTTTATTGTTTTTAACGGGCATGTACATGTAAGAGACTTTAAGTAAATTGTATGTATGTAGGTCTTGCCATAGATTCAAGATGCCCTTCGTGTATACAGACAGACAGACAGACAGACAGACAGACAAAGTACTTTTACAAAGCAAAATTGCCAAAAATTAAAATCATACACGAGGTTGCATTCCATAAAAACTCTCAAGCAGCATGTATCAATAATTCTGGTGAAGCAGCTCCAATCATCAGACATATGTCAGCCATCAGTGGCCTTGTGTCTGGCTCAGTGTCCATCTAGGATGGAAGCACTCAATCTGTGTCAGCAGCCAGACAAGACACGCACATCTCCATGACAGCCACGGAATATGATCTGCAACTCAACTACCATCATGTCATTCCCATCACTTGGGCCCCTATCTCCCCAACGAGCATGTATCAAATTGAAGACAGTCAATAGCTGGGCAACAGAGCCTGAATTACTGTAGCTTAAACAATATGCTCTCTTCCCACCTACACCAATCTGTTGTGCCATCATCTGAGCACATTTTACAAAATCTATCAACCCCAAAGTTGCGTTCAATATCCTGGGCACTATCTGTAGGTCTCCTTAAATGAGATGCAGGTCATGGATGCTGCATCCAACATACAGTATGTTGGTGTCCAGTGAAAAGCATGTCCCTGTCCACCCTAAACCAAATTGATTAAGGGCACAGAGAAGTAGATCTCCTGAG